ATTGTAAGTTTTATAAAACAATTTTCAAGAAAAACAACAAGAGAATTTTAAAATCATTTAGAGAAATGTTGTCAATGTTTGCTTTTTGCTGAAGTTAGCTATTCACGGCTCTCCAAATTTTGTTTAACTTTCTCATACAATTGACGCAATTAACAATTGCAATTTCTGTGGTTTCTCTACAAGGGTTTATTTTGAGCACACAACATTATTCACAAAATATATTAACTTGCTTTGTATATTATCCTAAAGGCGAAAGGGGTAGAAAGGGATGTCAGGAATTTTGAGTCCACTTTCCGACTCGGAATGCTGTGAGAGGAACATTGGGCATCGCTCGTGGCTCTTTCCTCTTTTGCGGAATGCACATTGTTCTAAATGTGTCTGCGTTCTCTGAATGAACTCACTTTAGGGCTAAAAGGAAAATGATTGTGTTTTCCGAGAAAAATTATCTGAAAATTTGCATAATTTGCAATTTTGAAGACAAAAGCTATTGACAATAGGACGCGTTGAAAAAATTAATTTAAACAAACATCGGCCCCTTTTCACGCGTTTTATTGCAGCCGATTTCATGCAAATTACGACTCCGCCCCACGGACGACCCAAATGCGGCCGAGTGTTCATAATTACGTAAGGATGAGTTGGCTTGGCTATGCGTTTATAACTATTACGTTTGTTTGGGAGATGTGCATCTCCGGCGGAAGACCACCGATTTCGCAACGCAGCGTGACTTCTACCTCAAAAGTGGGGACGCCGTTTGCTGGGGGACATTAACAGATTATCAAAGTTTGCCACCCCACCGCAGAAAACGTTGCTGCGGCCGCAAGAGCGAGAACCGACACAAAGTTATTAATTATGGCAGTCGAGCTCGTCTATATTGCACCCCGGGAAAAGTTTTATTTATGCTTTAGTATATTATTCTTTTTTTTTATTCCTCGGCAGCTTTGTGCAACGATTAAATTTTATGAATACCGGGAACAAAGTTTCAGAAAAAAATTGCTGCGGTGGATTTATTAAAAAGTGTTGTATGCATTTGCCGAGGGCAGAGAGTCAAAATCGTTCGGTTGGAAAAATCGAAAAAGGTGGCAGCTTTTGTCAATATATGAATTTGATTTATTTTTGATCGGCTGGCCTGAAAATTGGATTACTCGGCACCAGATTAAAAATGGCCAGCGTCGAAAAAGCAAAATTAATCCACGGGGGTGAACGTTAAAATACAGCATCAAAAAATAATATTTTCCTAAGGGTTGGAAAAACAGCAGAGACTGGCCAAATGCATGAGAAATCGCAACTGATGTTGCAGGTGCAAAGCAACAGGGTTGATTTTCCCGGAAAGCTATTTATCAAGGTTCATGTTCACACATCAATTGCACTAATTGATGGTCAGAAGTTATTTCATAGCAATTAAGCTCTCATGTAAATGTGAATCAATCATCAAGGAAACGCGGCGTGACCTAGAATTGAGAACGTTTTGTGTGGGATCAACGGCGAGCTATGATTCATCACAAACAGCATCTCAAAGCCTGAGACTGCTATTTTGCATATAACTGAGCCATTTGCAGAGTCATTCTTGCATTATGAATTTTGTTAATTAACCTTCTCATAAGAAAATTTGTTTCAATATATAATCTTACTCATTTTAAACTGATTAAAAACTTATAAAATTGACTGAAATGGTCAATTTTTTTCAGCTGAAGGTCAAATTTTGTTATTCATTTTTGATTGCATGTGTCTACGTGGGTGGATTGAACTTTCGACTCCACGCGTCACCATCGTATGATTAATCAAGATAAACTCGGTGGCAATGTAAACAAGCTATTCTGTTAAATATTTGTAATTAATTTCTGCGCAGCTTTTGTGTTGGAGAATTAATTTTCACGCGCATAATGAAACGCTACCAGATTTCTCCACTGATGCAAATTCACCACCGTGACGTTCATTCGGCATTTTGCATAGCGAATAATCAAAACAACCCGCGGAGATATTACAAAATTTATCCAAATGAATCGGTGACAGGCGAATTCATTTCCGCTGCGACACGCGCGGAACTCAATGGATGAAAACGTCAAAGGGCGTGCAATGATTGATTTTTAACGCTTGCAACACATTTCAACACTTATTGTTAGGAACTTTCTGTATCGCTTCAATAGGGCTTTGCACTCTAAAATAAATAAATTACTTTATTTAAGTATTTTTATTGACGATTAATAGACCAAACACTGAGGGAAATATTTACTAACTTTTAAGTCATGGGCATTTGTTGAGCGTCAATTAATTATTTTTACTGAATTGAACTCACTTTTTAAGTTCATATAAGTAAAAGCAGCAATTGCTATTTGTTGAATGAACAAATCACTATTTATTGATTAACTAAATGTTTTTTTCTGTATACAATTAAATTTTGATTGATTACAAGTAAATATTTTGTTGAATTCGCCATGTTTTTTGATCAAGGATTTCAAGTAATACTGAAAGCTAATGGCAACTAATCAATTTGTTGCGACCAACAATCTTTTACTATAAACAAGTCAAAAATGACTTGAACGGTTCAAAACTGCTACGAGCGCCACCTGACTACGTCATTTCCGGCCTCATGGTCAGGTTCAGTTAAGAGGATGGCGGTGGACGTGCATCATGTCGGCTGATTATTTTCCAAGAAAATGTGGATATTTTGCGGATTCAGGCAACAAAAACCTAGCGGAGGCATCAATTAATGATACACCCATTGTTTGAAGGTAAGCGCTCTAACAATTTGATAAGAAATAAGTAGTTTTAAGTCGAATAAAAGAGAATTTACGAAGCTCGACATTTTTCTATCAGATTAATAAAATAATTTAAAATATTTTCAGAGGACGTTTCAATACAATGGAAACACTTCTATTTCACAAATGAAAGGACATCCCACTTGAATTGATTGAAAATTTTCCACCAAGTGAGAAACCAACTCTTGCTGCAACATCCAAAATTTCCATGATCAGCACTAATTGGCATCATGCAGTGGTTCCAAATCAGCAGTGTACCCTTGTGGACGCGCCAGATAAGGTTTTCACCTAAGTATAATTTTTAATGTCAAATATTTGATTCAATGCAGGGCCTTTGTCATATGTTTTGTCAGAGAGCCAGCAAATTTGTTCGTTAATGTTTTTAGATTTCCCGCGCGCATTTTACGTTGTTTGTGAATGTTTTGGACAATCAATAAAATTATTTGTCAAATGAAAACAAAATTTTCTTAATTCAAATAAAACCTTAAGTTCCTTCAAATAAATAGTAATTTGAACCAACTAAAAATGTGACTAAATATATGAAGCACAGAAGGTTGGCAGTTTAGTAAAAGATGACTTGATTTAAGTCATATGATGACTTGACTGGAAGGCGCAACTGCAAAAATTCAACTCAATCCATGACTTGATTCAAGTAAATAAATGAGTTGAACCAATGACTTAGGACAACAAAATATCATGACTTGAATTTCAAGACATGGGCATTTGTTGGCGCAAGTCATGAGCTGATTTGGCTCAAAATCGATCAAAAAAGTGACTGAATTCAAGTAAATATGATTTCATACAAGTAAATATTTCTCTCAGTGAAGGATTCTCTATAGAGTTCCGGTACTTTCCTCTTTGTATTCAATCAAGTGTTTCAGCACCCGATTTAAATTTGTTGGAATTTATTTCTTAAATAAACTTCTTGATTAATTTTAAATCTCGTAATGATTGATGGTCAGTTCTAGAAGCCGGATTTAAAAACAGGTTTTTATATTATAATAGAGACCGTGTATGACTAGTACACGTTAAAAATATGTGTGTGCTCATGAAATGAGAATGCCGTTGCTTTTTCGCCCTTACTGTACTTTCTGAATCATTCATATTCGGAAAGCAAGCGCTGGAAGGCCTCTTTGTGCCGCGCCTGACACAATAAATGCATAGCGTGACGTCACCTGCGCGCAATTATACATATGAAAATATTTACAGCCGTTTATTCACGTACCGTCGCTACTAAACCCCTTCTTACACAAGTTGCTGGAGGCGAATCATGCTTCGCGATATAATTATTAAATTTCAGAATAGGAGCCGCCGTGTGGGACCAAATTCCCCAGGTTCTCATGACTTTTCTTCTCTTTTTATGCAGATGATAATGATCGTCCTGATTTAATTAAAGATTGTTAACCACCTTTTGCATTAATCAACTTAAAAAATTAGTTTGAAATTTAAATAATCTACTGTGTAAAAACTAAAAAGAGAATTACCAGATTTTTTTTTTTACATTTCTTTAATGTTAATTTGGTTCAGAACAGATTTGAAAATCTAATTAAAATTAATTTAAAATGAGCTAGATTTTTTAGCTAAAAAATCAAACCAGCAGCTAAAGTTAATTTCCTAGTAATCTAGGGAACTAATAATACTTCTTTAAAATAATCGGTCCCGCGAGCTGCTGATTTTCAAGGTTTCCACAGCGACCGCTAGAAATATTAAAGGATTTGATGGTCACTGAACTTCCATCAAAGATTGGCTAATATTAATAGGCGAGAGCAGGCGAGAGGTGCTTCTATAATCTGATCGTCGATTCAGATTTTTGTGAGCTTTTCATCGGACTCTGCGAATTTTGGATCGAATAAAAGTATAATTTTTTTTTATAAAATTTTAGATATTGCAGGATTTATTCTGGACTGTCACAAATAAATTAATTATATAATCATTTAAACAAAATAAAAAAATCTTTATAATTTACTGAAAACTTATCTTTTAATTTATTTTGTTTTTAAATTTAGAAATTTGAATTTCTGTATTCCAAATTTTGATATTTTTTTTTCGTTTAGTTTGAAACGAAACACGGCCGGACATTGCTGTGATCCGAGGGTGCTCTGTTCACAAAGCAAGCTTGCACGCTGGGAGAATAAAATGCTGCAGAGAAGCCGGCTCGGCCGCGCCTCATGTCGGGGGCACGAAAACGCAACAATGCCGTCGAAATTCGCGTGGAAATTATTGTAAAAAGTGATCAGTGCCTACCTGGGGGTGCGAATCACAGTAATCCAAGGGCGAATCACGCAGGTGGCGAGTCCTTTTCACCAAATTCACGGAAAAAGCAAGCAAGACGAACGCGCTCGATGGCCCTGGCGGCCCTCCAACGCTACACTACACGCCTCGCTCGCTGTACCTGCGTCGAGCAAAGAACTTTGTTCACCTCCTTCCCCCACTTTCTTACCTGGCTGACACTACCTGAGGAGCTGGCAGCGGCCGCAAGGACCACTCCGCGTGCCTCTGCCTCGGCATAATGGGCCTTACGAGCCGCTGCTCCCCTCGATTACTTCACCTGTGCGTACCGCCGGCTGCATTCCATGGGAACATCTTCTCTCCAAACTCGCGGCGGGCCACGAAATATGGGAAAGAAAACGCATGCTGATAATTGAGCCACACATTTGTAATATCACTCCTCTTCTCATGGCACAATTCTGACTCCTGTCTCACTGTGTAGATTTTTATCGTTGATTGTAAGTTTGAAAAATTCCCTTATATCAATTTGTTATCGAATGTCTATCAGATAAATGAAATAAATTTCATGACACAAAAGGTCAAAGATCTAGCATTGATAACGTTACGTGTAAAAACCTAAACGGAATATGCAATTAAAAAAATCCTTCACAGTTTTAAGGCAATTTTACTTTTCATTGATATATATATTTGAAATTTAATAATCAAATGAAGTCCTAATTTAACTAATAATATTAAAGATTATTGAAAATCATTTGTTATTTGGTTTTTAACTGGATATATATCTAGATAAAGTTATTTTCTTATTCACAGAATTCAATTCGGTTTAGATCCACTAAATAATATAAAATTTAATACCATATTTCCATGTGTAGGATGCATTCACACAATTCTAAAATTTAAAATAGTTTTGAAAATGATATTTACGAAAGAAAACTAAGCTTTTTATGAGACGCAATAATTAATCGCAGCGATTAAAATCTTTCTGTAATTTTTTGTATCGTTTTTATGTATGCAAAATGTTATTGGACCAAAAGAACGCGGGCTGTACCAAAAGCAAAATGACATCATCATGCAAGTCACGTGTGTAGCGTGTGTCAGATGTTTTTTCAAATTCGCAAATTGAGTTAGTGAAGGCACTCTGCTCATGCGTGCAAAAAAAATTGCACCCCTATAAAAGTGCCTTTGATGGCATAGCAGATACACAAAAAAGGGATTTTTTAAACAAATCACAGTTAAACTAAAAATAGGTTTTTAATCATTTTCATTGTTCAACAGGTTCCTTTTTGTATTAAATTGTATTATATATTGAGATTCGCGTTGCACATAGAGCAAAGAAATAAAAAAGAAGCCAATTTGGTGATACATCTTTTTATGTATAAAATGAGGAAAGAAACAGAGGGAGCTTTCTGTTGAATTTAGCGGCGCACAAAGCCAATTTGTACACCAAAACAATATTACTCCGTCACTCTTGTGCGTCGCAGCAGAGAAGAAATAAAAACAAATTTAGCTCGGAAAGAAAACTCCCTAAAAATAAATTGATAAATCAGCGAGCAAAGGAAAGGGAAGGAATGGAGTCTCTTTGAAATCACTGCAACGCCAATGTACGTGGAGAACTTTTTGCGAGAGACGCCCAGCACCGACTCACTACCCTACATTTCAATTTCGGGCCGTCCATTGTGCGGCGGTTTCATCTCAGCACTCAGGTTGCGCCGCGCGAGTAATGAGTTTGGTCCAAGAGAAAGAGTCTGCAGGAGAACGAGACCGAAATTGTTTTGTTGCATGGCCGGCCGGTCGGCTCTGGTGCGGCTTTTGCATTTTTATCGGCAAAGAAAGGCTTAAGGTAAGGACGCTGTACAGTTAGATTACAAAGAAGGCCCCTCGGCAAGGCGGCTTTCAGCCGGTCGCGCGCTAGGAATCTGCGCTGGCGGGGCTCGGCGCAAGAATGGGCCCAGAGCGAAAACCGCCGCAACGCAAATAAGGAGGACCTTCCTGAAACCGCCGGCATTCGAAATAGCAACAGCCCATTCTAAATTTGCTGCACTATGTTTGGCCAAACTACAAAGACAAGTGAGTGTCTTGATCCTTCCAGAAAAGAATGGCAGATGGGGCCCTTAAAATTTGATGGTTGTCTTATTGAGGTTATTCAAGTCCGCATTGATTTTATTAATTAACAAAAAATGAATAAAACATGATTATTTTTTTAATTCAAAAGATTAGTTTGATATAGTTTCACAACATGCATATTATATAATCATCATTATTTTATGGAAAATCCTTACAAATAATTTAAACATTTTAAATGAAATAAAATATTTAACAGGAAATGGGCGAACTTGTTTCATATAATTTTTTTAACAACATTGATCTGTGTTGAAAAATCTAATCGCTAGAAATTTAGGTTTGCTTTCTCATTAAATAAAACTACTTGCTCAATCTGGAACCTAATTTTTAAATTTTGTTTACCAAAATGTAGTATTTTTATAGGTTGTAGCAACTTATCATAAAGACCGGACTTGGAGTAATTTTTAATTTTGCAATACAATATCAAATAAAAAAAATAATAATAAATTTAAATCTTCGCAATGTAAAATAAAGATTATAAATATTTTTCATTACAAATTAATACATTTTTTTATTTCATTAATAATCAAATGCTGTAACATAAAGTTTTTTATTATCTAGAATAGCATGAAAATCAATAAAATAATTTATAATTAAAACTAATATAGATTATATGTATAAATGCTACATTAATTTATAAATACATATCATCGTTATATTTTTGTAAAATTCAAAAGCAATTGCATTTCAATAAAAGAATTTAATTAATAATAATATCAAATTTATTTTTGCTTTTGGCGTCAGCAAAGTATTTATAGTGGACAGATTTTTGCTTCAGAAACTCTAAAAATTAGAAATATTTGTTTTCACTTGAATTTTTTGCTGCTGCTATATTATAGCGGGAGCGCATTTGCTCTCTCTGACCAAGGGATTGATGTTCTTTGAATGCTTCTTTTTTTGTCGACCCCTGACGCACAGCTTTTCAGCCCCATTCATCACGAACAAAAAAAAGTGGCGGGAAAACATATTAACATCCCACCCAAGGGCGAAAACACCTGCTGGATAAGGGGACGAGAGATGCTGCTGAGATTTTTTCCCCGAACCGAGAAGATTGGAATAAAAGAGCGAAAACAACTCGACCCCTAATACCTGCCTGCGTTTGAGCGTTTTTATTAAATCAAAATCATGAACGTCGAGCCCTCCTGCATCAAAATCAGGAGCTACAGGAAATTAAGTGTATTTTGATTTACAGGAATTTTATGGAAATAAAGCTTGCGTTGTTTTTGTTTCAGAGGCAGTCGGTGGAATTTTCTTCAAAAATTTAATGGGTGTTCGTGTTTGACCAAAGGGAGAGTGTCGGTGGAATACGATTAGGAGCTTTTCGTTAACTTGCTTGGGTGCATAAAAATGTAAATTAGGACCACCTGCCTGGATCCTCCCCAATTGATTATTTATGAAAAGCTCAAAATAGATAAATTTTGTTCTGAAATGTTTTTAAATTCATCAAAATGCAACTTCAAACCAGCTTTATTGAGTGGGGAAGAGATTATTCCTTATTTAATATCTTAAAAAAAAAATAATAATTTTTATTAACTTTTTACCAAATAAAATAAAATTAATATCAACTTTTCACAAATTTTAATTGTAAAAAAGTTTGCAAAAATAATTTTTAAAAGTCAACAATTTATTCGGCTTATTGTTAGCAAATTTATATAAAGTTAGTAAATATTCAAGATCATGCGGCAATAAAACATGTTACTCTGGTTGTCGCGCAATAAGACTACATCCGGAGAGCGCTCTTTATTCGTGCACTGGGACACACATTTTACACGTCTCAGTGGCGGCGGCGACGATTTCGAATGTAAATTCAATTTATTTGTTCGCAAGCTGCGCGCTTCTCTTCTTCCGACTCGATTTTCATCCTGAAGAGGCAAGCGACTTCCAGGAAAACAACGCTCTTGCTTCTTTCTCTCTCGCTGCTGCTACCCCGTCAGTGGAGCACCTCTTTTTGAGAGTTGTTTGTTTTGTGCTCATTACGTGATACCAGCCCCAGATCCGTGCGAGAATCACCGACTCGGCAAGCGTTTGAAGTCTCAAAGTTGAGAAGAATGAGGAATAAAGGCTTTTGTCGAGCAATGCTTTGAATTGCATTCGCTCGTATGCGGACAAATTTTCTAAGTAAGCCCTTCAAGCACACATGCATGCACAGCTAAATTCAATTGTTCTTAATTTCAAACTCTGTGTGTGCCATGGAGAGTGAAATTTTGTGTATGAGCGCAAAATAAAATTGATTATGAATTGATTATACTGAATTCAATCCGTAGATATGAATATTCAAAATTTGCCAGGTGATTTTCTTAAAGAAACAATAAAAAATTTAATTACTACCATATTTACTGATGCAAAATTTTGACCAGATTTCTTTATTTGCACCAACTATGATGGTTTATTTTGTAATATTCAAGTAAATCCAAGATTATGTCTATTATTCGTTTAATGAATTTTGAATAATTAATTTGATTTTCAAAGTCTAAATTTAACATTTTTTTTTACCAGCTTTTAAGGTTTTATTTCTTTTCCAATATAAACAAAATAAAATTAAACTAACATTGCCGAGTTTATTTTGAATGAATTGTAAATATTAAATTTATAACAATTGAAAATATAATAAATTAAAGGTACTAGTAGAATGCTATTGTTGTTCAAATTATTACTATTTAGTGAAATTTAAAATATAAATGTACGAAAAATAATAAAAAAATTATAAAGTTATTTTTTAAATAAACCATATGTTTGTTCAGCCCGGTGTTCTTCTTCAATCGTCTTTTTCTCGTTACTGTAAACTGTATGAAATAACAATAATAACCGATTGCACGCCTTCACTCACTCACTCACTTCAGCTGCCGTGTGCATAACGGGTTAGCCGCCTCTTTCTTTCTCTCTCACTTGATTCTCCTTCCTCGCATACCTCGTCCTCCTCTCCAGAAAAGACGGCAAATGTAATAATATAATTGTTCAAAAATAAATCCTGCACACTCGCCATACGGCACATAAAGATAAAGAAAGGCGTGGGCGAGGTGGCCCCTTTTCCTTAGAATATTTTCAAACAAGGAAGTGTCACCTTTGGTATGGAAGGAGGAAGTTACTGCTATTAATTTTGGCTCCAATGCCTTAATAGTGCTGCGCCGTTACATATTTTCGCTCCGCGCGTGCATTACACACTGTGTGCAAACTACAGCCGCGGCACGTGCTCCTGCTAAACTATAAAAATTGTTTTCCACTCGACGTGACAACTGTTCCGATATATAGCGGTCGACGGCGACATTGTTGTGGCGCATGAGACGAGGAGAATTTCACACATTGTAGAAGAAGAATTCAGAAATGAGTCGCCACTGGCGGTCATAAGGAAAACACTGAAAAAATTAAATTAAATTAAATGGATGAAATTGGCAAATAGGGAATTTTTTTTATATACATTTAAAATAACAATTATTTGAAGATGAAAACTAACAATAATTATAATTAAGCTATTTTCAACAGCTCAACGTCATAAAGGAATATCATGTAACGCAAATTTAAAATAATAATAATAATTTGTAAAAGAATATCTGATTATATGATTAGAATAATACACAGTCATTTTTTTTTTAAATTCCGTTGCTATTTTCATTTTTTAATTTGTCAATTTAAATATTTTAAATTTTCCAACAAAAAATAGATGTATTAAAAAAGAATAAAAATGTGATGATAGTCAAATATTGGTTACATTATTAGTTGATAAAACGAGCTATAAATTTTTTTCTGAATTCATATTTTTTTTATTAGCAATTCACTGAGAATTGCGTCATTAACTTAGATTTCACTAAAAAATTATTTGAAAAGAAAATATTCCAATCCAGTTCAGAGAGGACATGATTTGTTGGTGTCATCATTAGAATCAATGCAATTACTCAATAGCAATATGAGATCAAGCTGATGTTGTTGAAATCCCATTTGTGACCGATATTATTCATCCACATGACATATTGTAAACGCCTTCAAAGGCGGTAGATCAGATCGCTGCGAGGATACACCGAGCCCTCTGCAAATGTGATTTGCGATTTGTGTTGTCCCTCAACGCTCGTCCTGATTACATAACATATTGTGCACAGATGAAACTGAATTATGAACTTGGCGGTCTCTGCAGAGCACATGTGGAGCACAGTTAGAGATTGCGCTTCCGCGAGCGGTGCGCACGAAGATGAACCATAATTCAAAATAATTGCGTTTTATTATAAACCGGACAACTTCATGAACTGTTACATGCCTGTTTGTGACTGACAGATTGAGCCATAATCATTAATTTACATTCAGAATGAAATCCTTCAGAGTGGATTAATAATTTTTCAGAGTCAAGTTTGTTTTCCTGGTCAGTAACACTGCTCAAATAAGAGAATCGGATATAGGAATTGAAGCGTGACCGCCATAGTTTGTTGCGAATCGAACAGAATCGGCACATAAAGCCATTGGACCGCGGCAAAAGTTGTTTTTGAAGACAATTAGCATCCATCTTTTTTGAACCAAAAAATGCGTGGTCGCCTATTCGCGAGAGGAAAGATTGCACAAGATGGGAAAGGAGCGGTCAAGCAAATACGCGGCGCCGAGAGAAGAAAATAACGGGACAACTCGCGCAGACAATAATTACATTCAGCCATCCTCGCTTGCCTACTAGATTCCTCCGCGGGCAAGACAAAAAATTTGCCACACTTCCAGAAAGTAAGAGTCAGCAAAAGAAATAATGCCGAATTCGTTTTAAAAATATCTAACTAGGGTACTTTCATCATTATTTTGCAAAATAAAACATATTTAAATAATGAAATAACGTCTCAATGATTATAAATGCTTTTTTTCTAATAATTTCTTTTAATATCAAAATATAATTTAATATCCTGATAAAATTTATGATTAAAATCTGCGTTTCCAGTTTATTGTTATAAAATGTATATATTCATCGAAAAATGGATAAAGCGAATTTAGGGAGCGACCTTGACAAAATTTGATTAAACCGATAAGTCCCAGCACGCTGAATGCAATCACGAGTTCCGCACGTCCCACGAGAACAATCGAGTCCAGAGCGAATGACTTGGTCGAATTCAGATTTTTTCACAGACGGCGCCCACCAAAGCAGAAATGGTGTGTGGCTCTGGTGTGTTATCGCGGTGAGCGAGAAAAGTTAATTAAAAAAGCTGGCTCTGGCGCATTTGCCTGCGGAATACCCGCTTCAGCAGCGGACTTCCTGAGAGCAGGTTTTTCGCTATTCCTCGCCGCGCGCAAGTGATGAGAGTTGCGAGGGTCGACAACCTTTCTCAGGGCGGCCACTCCACGCCTGATTACGCAAGGCTGCCTGACGCGCATTCCTTTTGCATCGTCACAGCCAATTTGCTCGCCAGCAAAACCTATAGATAGATGGATTGCCTTCTGAATTCTCCTTCGCACGTTTGCTCCGCTCCTCACAAGTAACACGTCCTTATGCCGCAATTGATTAGGTGCGAGTATGGCCAACCATCTGATGGTTCATTGTGATAGCCCATTGAATACAGAAACAGCTGCCGAATAAAAAAAAGAAAATAATATTTTTTTATATCTTTTCATTGAAAACGTTCTCCTTTTTTAAATCCTAATAACAAATTCAATCAAATAAAACATTTACTAATAAAAAGTTTTATCGTGTAAAAAATTATTATTCGATTTAGATGACATAGCTGGCGAAACTTTGATGTTCATTGACTCTTGATTAAATCGCGGTTGGGGAGATGAGCGCCTGTGCCCTTGACCCCGGCGCAGGTGTAATTCTATTAGGCTGGGCCGCGCTCCAAAGTTTGAAGGTTTTGTTTGGTGACGCAACCACGCGCGTTCGATGAATAAATTCCTGTGCATCCCATAAAGTAGTGGATTTGCTGCGTGAGGTGCGTACGGAATTGGCGGTGGGTGTCACTGCACTTGCCTGACCCTTGCCTTTTCTGGCTCGCGCAAAATTCATTAGCTGCCTAATTTTTCATAATTAAGCTCGTTACGTGAGAGATGATAACACCCTCTGACGAACTTGCAAGATAACTCATTTTAATTAGCCGTCAAACTTTATAAAGCGTTGTTAAAATTGATTTCAGAACTCGCACTTTCTAACTTTTTCAAATTTTTATCTCATTAAATTTTAATTTTACGTCTACTCAAACTTTATGACGGAAAGGATGAAAAAATCTTGCCGGCCAAGAAATAATACAATAGTCTCAAATAATACTAAAAGCCACAGCGTTCGCGTTTTTATGATCTTACCAGTTGTGTAGGCAATCTGGGAACTATGCATGCATTGCAGGTTGCATAGTTTCCTCAAGTTGTAAACTTTTGCTGCAATAAAACCACCGCTATTTCCCGCATTCATAAACGAGCCGTTGAGCTTTATTTAGAAGTAAAAGTGTCGCAAGTAGCAGAAGTGACTACAAACTTTTATTTGAACTATAAATGCAATAGATATCCTAATATATACCTTGAAGTGGAGAATAAATATATTATCAGCTTCTCATCAAAACTTTTTCCGTATCTCCTGGTAAATAATGCAACTGCAAATCATTGAGGGGTTTTAGCGGATTGCAATATAATCTTGATTGTTAGATGACTCCAAACAAGGGAGATAAAAATAGACTTTTGCATTGGTGAGCCTGATTTATTTCTGGTTTCTTTATTTCTACCAATTGACATAATATTCAACGTAATGCAATTTAATATTCAAAATAATTATATATTGAAATTAAAGTACAAAAAATCCAATGTCAATCCTTACACAGGAGTAAATTTTGATCATGCAACTATTTGTAATGACAGATTGTGTAAAATTCAGGAAATTACCAAGTTTGCATAAATGCACATTTTTGAGTAGTATTTATGCTTTACAGTGGCGAGTTTAACTGCATTATACCTTTAACTCCAGCAGTTTACATCACAAACAAAATAACGTAGAATTTTTGAGTTAAATTGACGATGTAGAGCATGCTGCATTTTGTGCATTTCTTGACAACTTACACTCATAAATTAAAAAATATTTATATAATTTTGTGCTTAAAAAAAAAAATAATAATAACATGAATTGATTTACATTATACAATTTTGTGGTATATCTGAATTTTAGTTTGAATCAGTTTAAATTCCGTGGCCAAAAGTATTTTCAGAATTAAATTGCTTTACTTGAATTTGGGAAATTTAGAAACTTTACAAAAACAAAAAATCAAACATATATATATACATTCATTATATCTCATATAATATTATAGATATTTCATAAAGATTTTCCATTGCATAACGTTTAACATCTACATAACACAAAATAACATTTCTTTCCATATATTTTATTTGAATTTTCAACAGTTATACATTTATCCTTCTTTACACTATGGCGATTAAGATATACGATTCTTGAGCAAATTAATAATAAGTGAGGTTTCTCCAGGATAAATATATAGTATACTGTGAAGTTTAGTAACTTTCAAGTGTTCCATTCTTACGCTTTCCCAGTGTACTTTTCATTTCTATTTTATTTTTAGCAACTTATACTTCTTATTTTTACGTATATCACATCAAACATTGAACAAATCGCGCTAATTTTCTGATTTTCCAACGTTTAAAAGTTTCATAGCATTATTCTTCCACAGGTCTTTTGTTTAACATCAATAAGATCAAATTTGGAATTACAACCTTAACAAATCTCTATCTCTTCTGTACTAACAGTTAGGGGTTTGGATCGGTTTTTGTTTTACAAAGGAATTTGAGTAAGACAGAAGACCAAATAATTTATTAGGGCTATTTCGTCTGTGTATCTGATTCCCTGATCACTTCACTTTACTTGTAGTAGAGCAGTTCCAACACTTTTCCTTCTGTCAGTTCTGCCTTGAGCCAAACGACACCCTGTTGCCACATTATCAATAATTGAAACAATTAAAATCAAATATGTTTATTCATTTCTAAAAAACCGTCTCGATTCGCCTTTCACTCTCAGGTGAAAATTTTACCTGTCGTCAGGCTACGGTGCAACACGAGCTGGTAGCACCGTCGCGACCTCAGGTTTTGTCTAGGCTGAAGGCCGTTGTCACAGTTACCTCGTGGTGGCGTTTGACAGAGCTGTGGAAGTGGACGAGGGTGTGCGAGGAGGCGTCGTTGCGACGACTCTTGTCAAAGGTGTTGCGCCGAGTGCGTTCAGGAATCTCATCAGGGCAGCAGCAGCAAAACAGGTGACGGTTGAAGTGCTTGCGGAAGGTGCCGCTGACAAAGTAGAGAGCAATTGGGTTGATGCAGGAGTTCAGGAAGCTCAGGCAGAAGCCCACGATGCGCAAAGTGTTCCAAAATTCGTCATACTCGCTCATTGAGTCAGGGTTCAAGTGAAACCACAGCATGAAAACGTGATATGGCAGGAAGCAAATCACAAAAATGACGACAAATGCCAGAACCATCTTAGCTACCTTCTTCCTGGCCTGAACCTGAGTCGAGTGAGCCGCCTCGCCTGGCATGTTCCTGGCACTTTTCTCCAAATGCACGGCCATGAGGACGTAGAATATGGTAATGATGCACAGGGGAATGGCGTAATAGGTGAGGAATTTGAAGACGATTACAATTTTGTCTGGAGTGTCTCCAATGTCTCCAGGCAGAGGGTAACAGTAGAGGATAACGCTATGGTTGTTCAGCAGTACATGTTCCCGTAGTCGAGAGAAGACAGCGGACGGAACTGCAAAAATCAATGAAACGATCCAGATGCCAATAGCGGTGCAGAGAGTTACAGTTTTAGAGCCTAGGATTCCACCCGCGTGTCTTCGCATGGGGTTGACGATGGCGCAGTACCGTTCAGCGCTCAAAGCCGTTAGAGTGAAAACCGAGACTCCGACGGACAGATCTTTGACTGTTTCAGATAGCTTGCAGATGAAGGCACCGTAGGGCCACGATTCAAAAGTGTAGAGGGTTGACGTGAAGGGAACGCAGCTTACGATTAGGATCAGATCGCCCAGCGCCAGTGAAAAGATGTAGGTATTGGGAACATTTCTCATTCGGCGATGTCTGGCAAAAATCAGGATCAAGGATCCGTTGCCTAAAACGCCGACGACGAAAATTATGGCAAAAACTACCGGCACGATGTAGGTCTCAGGGCGTTGCTCGTAAGGGACGTACTGCATTTCATCATCAATAAATGGAGAGAGGGACGTGTTGGCTAAAATAGCCGTGGAGTTTGACGGCCGCTCAAACGCTGATTCCGTAGTGTTGTCCATCATGCTCTCTTCAGACATTGTGAGTCTGCAACATAATACGAATGGAATTTTTAAATGTGCTAATAGTACTTTTTTTGGTAAAGGGAGCTTTCACATGAATTTATAATAGCTGCAAAATAATAAACCTCGTCTAAATGCGGATTCAAAAATTAAAAAAAAAGAGGAACGGTAAAACATTTGACCCATTTTCATTAATAAATTAGGCATTTGAAATAATAAAAGTGGTTGTTTGTTTAGCAACCCTCATTATATCCCTTTGCTAGAAAACTTATAAGCGGGGCAACTTTAATCTCATCTCATAACATATAATGGGAACCAGAGGGTCACTCTGTAATCGATAGTCGATGGAAATGACAAGGCATATTGTGTTGCAACCTGTTAAGCATCCGAGACAAGCTTGTTGCCTATATCGGCCATAACAAGGCGATAGAGTCTTTGCGGCGGGCCGGCCTTCCCTTTCCATATACATATTAGCTATGCTCGAAGTGATATAGCTTTGTGTACGAAAGTTCATTATAAGCTTTGTAACAACTTGGCGGCAGATTTTCTTGATTCGAATGAATGAGACGCAAAGCGGAAAATTAAATTATTCTGCCAGAATTAATACCCAAAGTTTTGCTCTTTTTTATTGGCAGGATTGAAGTTTAATTGGAATTATCTGGAAAATTTTGTAGATAACAAAAGTACAACTTTGAGAATGAGTCATTATAAAATTAAAAAGAATTCGCAGAAAATTTAATTGATGCAGAGTGCTATTGAAATATAAAGTTTCCCGCCAAATCTCCCTTTTATTTTTGAGCTTATTGATTTTTCGAAGAAGACAATTCAGCATTTTTGCTTTCGTTTTGTTCTTAGGAAAAGATTGGAGATAACCCGGCATGAAGAATAACCGTTTGCCAGCGAACGTGAAAAGCTGAAAGGGTGCAGAGACAAATCGCCGTCCGAAATAGTTCGGAGAAAAGCGGAACACGAAATGAGCCATGCAGTGTGTAGGGGTTGTTGAATCTTTGTTGCGTGTGCGTGCATCACTCACACCACTCGAGAGACAAATTGCAGTCTGACGATAAACTAGCCGTCAACACAAAATGAAATATCGTGGATATGGCGTTGCACGCACCGGTGCGTTTGTTCGCTATAGGTTTATTAAATTAATTTTTGGGTCTACAGTCCACATAAGTTTACATTGGCGAGGGAATTTTCCGCTAGTAGATTTGTTAGTAAAATTGAATAGAAGTGTGGCGAATACAATTTACAGAGTACCATAATCCTCTGAAAAAGCGTAATCTCAGTCATATTTGTAAATAAAAACCTGTCTGCAAACTCTGCAAGTCTGTGCAAGAAGAAACTCCATACAGCCAACGACCCACGCTATCTGTCTTTCTTTGTTTCCACCCCGAACAACGCTATTTCATTCCTCTTATTATTTACGAGAGGCAACAAAAAGAACGCACTGACGTGGAAGCTTCCATCCGCCTTTTTGTTATCACTTAATTGCCAGGTTTTAATTTGCACTGGAAAGTATCGTCTAATTACAAAATCATGAAGCTCAAACGCTATCGTTGCGAAAAAAAACCCATTGATGTATTTTACACTTTTCAATCTCTTTTAATATTTTTTGCAATTTGAGAACAAAATTTTAATTTAATATTAGAAGTGGAGTTTTAAAATTATATCACCAGTTAATGAAGGGAAATTTTAGAAATTTGCGCCTCGTTGAACAGTTTAAATTCGCACGTAAAGAATATTATAAAACTTTGATTTTTGGCGAAAGAGTAAAAAAAAAAGGAATTAAAAATAAACATATTAAAAAAGCGGCAAAAAAAATGTTTTTTTTTATAAAAAATTGTATTATGTCCTTTTTATTCAAAAAGCCATCCTTCAAACCATCCAAATTAAATCTCTTTTGAAAAGTGACAACCGTCAATAACGAGTTATTACACTTTCGCAGTCCAGACTAAAACAATGGCCCATAATCCGCCTCTCATTTAATGACATGCGTTGGCATCGCCCGTCGCGCGATAAAGCGGGCCGTGATTTATGCGGATTCACGCCCATTATATTTGCCGTCCAATTAGTCTGCAAACTCATTCATCAAGGATCCAAAACTCGTGTCCCCTTCTCCGAGCTGAAGGGAAATTTAAGTTCAAAACAGAGCTCAGCTTTTTTCTATTAATTAATTCGCTCTCTTATTTGCATGAAAAGTTTTCTGTATGTTTTTTTTCCACCGGAAGGGGTGACGCGACTTTTGATGTGTGGGTGTCGCGACAGAGGAAATTCAGGCCGCGCGCGAAAGTGTAATTAGGCAGAGCATCCTCGCTAATGGCGGCTGCCTTGTGTAGGACATTGTATACGCGCGGCGTCATTCGATCATCCATCATACCGCAAATAGCCGCGCAGGCTTTTGTCGAATTTCGTTGCGAGCCGCTTCAGGCAAAATTGCCGTTGCCACCGAGGCTCCGTGTCGCTGACAGCAGCCTCCACGCGATTAAATTATGATTCCACATCATAATTCACTTAAGCTCGCAATCCCCGAGAGAGGAGCACGCGCCGAGATTTTGATATTCGTATGCGGTTGATTTACGCACTGTGTTGTACGTGCAAGAGCTAAATTGCACCTCGGAGGCTAATTAATAATCCATATCAACTCGAATATCAGCACAAATTACTCTGCATGACAAACCAATGAGGTGAAAACCAATGTTAATTTCATTGGCTGTTTCTTTTATAAAGAAATATTTTATCCATCACAAATATTGAAAAATGAATTCAACTTGAAGTTTTGTATGCTAGAAAAAAATTTAATTAAAATTTTATCTAATGTAGTTAATTTATATTGTTATTTTTAACTATGTTATTTAATTATTTTTAATTGTAATCAAAATTTAAATTATTATTTTATAGTATACACATTTTATTAATATTTTGATTTTTAAAATTAATTTCTAATCTGTATTAAATATATTATTTTTTTAACATTCTCCTTTTTTCAAGTTTTAAATTTATAAACAAAAATCAAGACCTGTCTCTAAGCAACCTTTGCTGCAGAAAACTGCGCTAATGGTTCTGTAATTATTTTCTTGTTTCTTTTATACATTAGTGCATATCACAGCGATTTATTTTCATTTTTTTCTGACCAAAATTGAGAGACATTAAATATATCTCATATTTATGAGCTTTATACAAAGAATATTATTTTCCCTGTGTAAATGCTCAATCCGCCATCGGTTGGGAACGTTCGATAAGTGATGCTTTTGCAAACGCCTCTTGGTAATCTGATTAGAGGTTCAACTACGGCTATGTATTGGCACGGGACGCTCAACGTCACGTCTTGTGTGTACCTTTAATCATATTCCGTGCAGTATCCGCATTGCTTTTCGTAGCTCGCATCAGATATTCCGATAAGTCATGACGGATTTATTGGATGGGAAGACGCAATATTCCAACCCAATAATATGTTTTTCTTCTTCTGAAGAAGAGGGGTAGTTTCTCGGATCGTGCTTTTGGCCTGCCTGTCTCTTTTTTGTTGGATTCAAGATGGGTTGCTCCACTTCACCAGCAATATTTTATTGGTGCATCGGAAAACATTTTTTAAGGGGCACATTTTGAAAAATTGCATCCTTGACGTCCCTCTGGCAATATTCCTTAAAAAAATTACCCAATTATACCCATTTTCCAATTATGCACATAATTAATTTTTTTTTTAGTTGTTCGGTTTTAAAATTATCACTGTTGTTTATTGATGGTTCCAATCACATTGTTTACGTTCAATTATTGAAATTATAATCTGGAGAAATTTGAAAATATTTTTTAAATAATAATGGTTTGTAATTGAATGCAACCTTGAACGAGGAAAATGAAAGAAAGAACAAATAACTGAATTTTCAGCTCTTGTCATTTTTCCTTCTCATATTCTTTTATCAAGTTACTCTCCTCAAGTTCAGATTTTATTTAGGAAAGACTCAATGGCCAAACTTAATTTCTTTGTTCCTTCTCTGATATAATTATAGGAAGACAAATTTTCTCTGCCAACTCTCGAAAATGTCGCGGTCTTGAAAAGCCGCTGGAGATTGCTTTTCTGTAATGATAAAAACAACAGAACATCGATCGCAAGGAAGATTATTTTCTCTGAGCGCCAAAAATAACAATTTTCCTGAGAGAATTAATCTTGGAAAAAATATGAAATAAAATCAACTTTCCAACAGATTTTTCATTTTAATAATAATAATGCGTTCACCAATTTTTTTTTCTCTTTTCGCTGTTGAATACGCAAATAAACATGGCGCATTTCTCCAAGCATGCAAATATGTTAATTATTCCACTCCCAAATGAACCCACGCGTCGCAGAGCAATGTTTCATTTTGAAGAAGAGCTCGACGAGGAATTCTGCGCCCTGCGGGAGAAGCGCGATACTCTCTATATCTCGGTTAAATTTCTCAGTCCTCCGCAAAATGCAGACGAAGCATATCATTTTTGGAAACCAACGCAGTTTTTTACATAACAATTTGCATTCCACCCTTCGGGACTTGTGTTTTTTTCTTCGTCACGTCGTCGTTGATCAAGTCAAGATTCATACCCAAAAGTCGGTCACCCCCTACGCTCTTGAAGAAGCACTCGAGCGTAGAAAATAGTGCCTGGCCGCACCCCACGTGTCACAGGGATGATGGGAGCGTGATTGTCGCCGTCGTCATCCATCCACCCACGACGAGCGATATTGCAACGGAAGGTTTTTGGTTGATCAAACAAGGGAAGCTTTTCTGACGCGCCAGTGGTTTATTATTTTAAGAAGCCGAGAAAGGAGAAAGGCGCTGGTTTGTTTTGATTGAGGAGCAATACTCGGGAATCAAATCCGGCGCACTTATTGAGTGCTGTTTGCCCAAGCGCGGTCAATAGACCAAGATGTGGGCATTCCATCGAGTGACCTGGCAGAGACGCCAATTGATTGCCACTCACTCCAGAGAAATTCGCCGACAGTGAAGGCCCCACGATTTTAAGTTGATTAATCATTCATGCGAGAGCACGTCTCTT